TGCATGTATGTTTTTAATGTACTTGCAATTCTCCGCAGATGAAAAATTGAATAAAGTTCCTCAAGAAAGAGGTCAGGCCATTTATTTCAATTAGAAATAGTAATGAAATTCCAGTAAACTATTAAATGTCACTTAATCTATATTCAAGATAAATAGAGTACTAAATTTCTCTTGGCATGTTCCACAACAAGGTACCCTACTTCTCTTTATATTGACAAAGTTGGTGCTCCACAGCGACATTTAGTGACTTTACTCCCAGTCAAACACCGCATGGACATAATCCATTTTGGAATACGCCCACCAAAGCAAGAAATATTGCCATATAGAGTTTAAGGCTATACTTCTCTGATCTGGCTGGTTCAGGTCAGTGCTGCATTTTTCTTCGTTCGTCTTCACTGAAACGCAGTGGGGCTGCTCATTTTGGTTTCCTTCTGCCATCAATTCATCCCCCAAAACTTCTATGTGGCAAAAGACCATTAATAGTGTTTCTACATTGGGCATAATTAACTTCCTAAATAAGGACAGAATTACAACCATCAATGACAATTTTTCTAAGCAGCTAGATGTTTTGACATGACAAGATGTTTCACTTGACCGTGGGTTCTTGTTTGAAGGGCATTCAATCCCATCACCTCCACAAGAAGTTTCTTCTAAGGCTACCAGCCAGCAACAGTAAGCTTGGTAGACAAACTAAAACAGAAGGCTTTGAGTATTAAGGAGCATTACCAACATGGAACAAAATCTGACTTCTGTAGAGTTCTCCTCAGTTACAGTTATGTTCCTTGGTTTACACCTGAAAAATATATAAGATGCAATATGAGAAGGTGAGGCCTCATTCTAATTCTCCATGGAAACAATCAAGATGGCTTATGATAATTCTCTACATCTGAAGTCACCCACACATATGGTTTCAATTCCAAGTTTGCACGTCTTTAAGGGATTTATATTAAGCTCTGCTAAGTAATTGTAAGCCATTTCTGCCTGACTGTAATCAAACTAAATTAAACCAAAATTTACTCTGCCAATACTTTTCTATTCTGCCCACTCTGTTTCATCCTTCATCTGAAACTACAGCAAAAACAAAGGACAGCAAATGGATGCTTTCAACATCTCTACAGTCACATCCAATATTCATTTTTGATCTTTTGACACGTCTACAGCTCAGGCAGCTAGCAAAAGGCTTCAAACAAGCCAGAGGAGCAGCACTTGCAGTTCTCAGGGATGTTTTAAAATAAAACACCAAAATTCCCTGAGAACTACATAACTGAGCACAAGAAGTATTCTTCAGGAAACAAGGGAAATGCATGTATACACACATACATATACACACCAGCATGCTCCTCCTTTTATGGATACTAATTTCCATTCACAGATATTAAGAGGAACAGAAGATGGCATTCTCCATGTAAGTCATGGAGGGAAGTAGAAGGCTAGACTGCAGCTCAGCAGAACAAGAAATGTAAATAAATGTCAAACAGGTCAGTGGTCGTGCCCCACTTCAGAATACCCACATGACAAGGATGTGCGACAAATGTATGCTAAAAAACTTGACACAAATTTCAAGCTGATTCTTTAATTCTGTGTACTGCAGAGAATACATCCAGTTTCTTTTGACATGCAGAAGCCTGTACACTGCATATTCTATATTAAAAATATAATGCTTAAATTATAGCCACTTTTTTGTATAGTTTGGCTTTATTGGTTTTTTAGGCTTGTTTTTGGGTTATAATATGTTATAATATGGCTCTTTCCCAATTGAAAGAATACAGTATTTCATCTTTCTTGCTCTAAAAGACATCCAATAAATAATGTACAGTGACATGATCTTTTGCTATTCACTTTAAGCCGTTTTGGAGATGGATTGCTGCAGTATAGGGTGGCATTCAGAATAACATATGTTGAGCAACACACACTCAAATCTTGCCAGCTTTATGGTTTCTTATAACATGATACAATGTGAAGTGATTCACACTGAGGAGTGGAGAAAATTTTTTCTGTTGTAAAAAAATGATGTTATATGCATTTATTAACCAAAATAAATACATTGACACCACAGCCTGAATTAAAACTAAGAAAGTAAAGTTTGCTCCTCTTTCTATTTGAAAATATTGCATTTAAATTTAAACTAATTAAAGCTGAGTGATGTTTTCTGTGTAACATGAGCTTGCCCTGACAGTTAATCTACACTATTATCAGACTCATCAAATTTAAATAAGGTGAGCTAAAGAAGAAATCAATGCCAAAGATTTGAATTGCCTTGATGTCATATGCTAGCATCTTATAAATTTTACAATTCCTGTAGAAGAGTATCATAGAATCATTTAAGTTGGAAAAAGCTTTCAAGATCATTGAGTCCAACTATTACTCAGCACTTCCAAGTCCACCAGTAAACCATGTCCCAAAGTGCTACTTCTACACATCTTTAAAATACCTCAGAGAGAAGGTAGAGGATCCACTTGGTGGGATGGAATTGGTAACTAAGAACATCCACGAAGTCAAAAGGAAGGAGTGAAACGCTGCTGTGGAGGTGGGTAATGTGATGTAGCTACACTGATAAGCCAGAACTTCCATAGAATTTCTTTTATATCAGACATGTAACGGTAATTTCAGTCTCATGATGTACCACTTCAAAGGAGGGGGGAGGGAAAACCTCTCAAAAATGATACAGTAACTTTTGGAAGATGCTGTACCTAGACTAGATGTTCATGAATGTTAAATTTTGCACAATGTCCCTGATATCATTAAACAGAAGTTTCAGGAAAAGGGAACAAATAAATATCTCAAACCAAACAACTGTACTGTACTTGAGAAGTGATTAATGGGCCTCTATCACCAAGATGTTAAAAAATTGGAATCCTGAAATTTATGGTCTTATTATCTCCACAATGTTATTCACACACACAAGTTCCCTACGACAGATTATTTATTCTCTATTTTAATTCGTCACATTTCTGTAAACCCAGAGCTGCAGCCCTCCCCAATAGCTCATATACAAAATAGTTTATATACATAAACTTTTTAGAGGTAAAAAGTACCCACAAGTTGAAAGTCAACTGCAACTGCTTGGTCTTTCTGAAAAATGCGACTTCAAATCATTAAAGAAAATACAGGCAAACTTGAGTCATCAAACTACTTTGAAGCACTTCATTGTGAACTGTGAAACCACCATGCATTATAATATCTTAGTTTGTTTCAAAAATTATATTCTTCTTCGTGGTGTTATTAATTTAATACTATTATTCCATTTATTCTCCGTATTCTGTTTTCAGCAGGAAGCCTACCAAAAATTTCCAACAAAATGATTTCTAACTTCCAGACCACATGAATCTTACATTTTAACCTTTTCAAAAAATAAGAATTAGGTAAACATTGACGCTTCATCAAACAGAATGTACCCTTCTGAGATGTGCACTTTTCCAGACTTTCAGTAGACTGTGCTGACACAACCAGAGATTGACTGACCTGTGCTGGAGCAGCTGATGAATAGTTTTGACATTCACCAGTCACTACCATCTTCCAGTAAATAAATCCAGGCAACAGAAGGAGTTGTTTCTCCAGCCAGATTACCACTTGCTACGGGAGCCACTTCACCAACAGAAACTGACACTAAAATATGACCACTACCAAAAGATGAGAGAAGCCATCCCTCTTAAACACAATGGAAAAGTTTCACAGAAGAGAAAAAACAATTAAACAACCCCCCAAATCATTAAGACCAGTCCGTCAATTTCTGTTTTCCCACCTCAAGCTAAACTAAAAGAACTGCTTAATGAAAAAAAAAGAGGCAAAACCAAAACACAGCGCCATGCCATACCACCAAGGCCAAGAAGTGTTAGTGGATCCAGCCTTTGTTAGCCCCACTCCTCTTCAGACCTAGCTGGTGCTCAAGCCTTACCAGGTTCCCCTCCGAAAATGCCACTGGGCAACTGGAGGCATTCAGCACCAGCGCACGGCAGAGGCGGGACCAGGCCCTGCCAGACCCCGCATCTCCAGCCGCTGCCTGTGGCAGGATTCGTCCAGCGGCTCCACCGCACCTGGCGCCCCACCGCACCTGGCAGCCACGGCTCCTCCCGGGGTGGCGGCCGGCGGGGACCCTCTTACCTTGTTGGAGTAGGGGGGTTTACTCAGATTGATGCCGTCGCGGATGAGCTTGTCCCGTATCATGATCTTCAGCTTCAACCTGGGGTAAGCGGCCAGCCCCTCGCCGCAGGCCGCCCCCCGCCGTCCGCCGGGCCGGGACCTGGGGGCCGCCCCCCGCCGCGGCTCCTCCGGGCCCCCCGCCCGGCGGGGGCAGCGCCCGGCCGCGGGGGGCGCCGGCCGCGGCGGCGGCTGCGGCTCCAGCGTGAAGTACAGCCCCGCCGCCGTCTCGTCCGCCTCCTTCAGCCGCCGCACGGCTTCGTGGATTCGGCGCCTGTGGTGGGGCACGGCCACGCCGATGGCATCCAGGTCCGGGTCGCCGATCTGCTTGCAGACCTCCAGGTCGTCGTAGCCATTATCGACGAAGGACTCCGCGTACTGAGGGAGCTGTAGGGTCTTCAGCCACTCGTAGACTATGTTGGTGCACATGCTGGCTCCAAAATAATAACGACTGCAACTTTGAGCACCGAAGCCAGCCTCCCCCTTTCCACTTTTCGCCAAAAGAAATAAAACCACAAAAACTGCGATGCAACTAAGACGTCTCAAAATCAAGGTCAAGAAAACAACATCCACCAGGAAAAGAAAAAAAAAAATCCCTGAAGCAGATCAGCAGGGCACCGTGAGCACTGCTGAGCGAAATCCCCCTGCTTATTCCTCCTCCTGTTTTGTTACTACCAAGTACAGCCGCTTTCTGCCTCCGGAGAAGGGAGGTTCGGACTAGAGAGCAGCAAAACGTAAGGGTGCATCCCCTAAAATCCCAGGTCGCTGCTGCACAACATCCACCCACTTTCTCTGGAAGTAATTCGCAGTCGCTGTCTTTTTTTCCCCCTTTCTTCCTTTCAGTGTTAGTTTCTGTTTCTGCTTCTGTGTCACCTTCCTGAGCTCTGTCGCACGATGAATCTGTTTACTATGAGTAGCTGCTTTGGTACACGATCGTGCTGGGGGAGAGCCGAGGGTAGGATCCCGCACCCTCTCCCAGCAAGGGTGCCGGTGTGCAGTGCCCTCCTCTCCCGTGCCTCTCCCAGCAGCGGGCGCACGAAGGCTTTTGCTTTCCTTTTAAACGGGTCTTTTCGGATTAGGAAGAAAAAAGAAGGAATAAAAAAAAATTAATCCCAGTCACTTTTCCGAGTTACTTTCCCAGTTCCCCTTCATTCCCGGAATGATGGTTAAATGCGCTTCGCCGGCACCGAGACCAGAAACTGCTTTTCAATCCCACTTTCTCCGCGCTGATGCCGGCGGTGCCCTCCTGCCCCGGCGGGGCACGCAGCCTATGCCCAGCCCGCACAACTTTCCCTGCGCTCCCCTATCCCCGCTGGCGCTCCCAGCGCTGTCCGCAGCCGCCCTGAGGAGGCGGAGGCAGCGGCGGCGGCGGAGGGTCCGTGCGGGCGCCCGGCGCTCCGTGCATCCTCCGGCGGCGGATGAGCCGATCTGCGGCAGGTCACCGGCGCTGCCCCCGCCTTCCCCGGATGCCGGCGGAGCTCTCCCCTCCCTGCCACCGGTACCCGGAGCGCTGCTCCCCACCCGGGTCCTTCTTCCCCTCTACCCCGGAGGCGCCTGACGCACCACCCGCAGATCTCCTCCGGCTCCTCCCGGTGCGGCTTCTCCCCGCTCCTCCTCCGCGCCCGCCGCCCCGCTTCCAGCCCCCTGCCCCGACTCTCCCGAGGTCTTTCCAACTTTCCCCGCCGGCAGCCTGCGGTCCCTGCCGCCGGCGCTCGCCCGCCCTGCCCGATCCGGGAGCGCGGGGAGGCGGCGTGGGGCCGGCCGGGGGCACGGCAGCCTGGCCGGGCAGCGCCTCGGGGCCACCACCGCTACGCAGGCTCTCCTGCGGGCTTGCCTGTCCCCGTTGCCCCCGGCGAGGGAGAAGCACCGCGCCCGGGGGGCACGGCCCGGTAGCTGCCCCCCAGCGCCCTCAGGACGGCCGGGCCGACGGCGGCGCCGGCTCCTCCGCGGGGGCACAGAGCCCTTCGTAGTCGAAGGGCGACTCTTCGCGGGGCGGGGGGCGCAGAGCGGTACTGCCGGCGGGGGCGAGCCCCCGGGAGGCGCTGGCCCCGCTCTCCCCCCGCCGCCGGGGCTGCCCGGGCCGGCGGAGGCGCCGCGCTCTGCCCGCCGCGCTCTCCCCATGAACGCCGGGCTCGCAGCGCCCCCGCCGGGCCGGCCCGGGAAGCGCCGCCGGGCCCGGCCTGGCGCCGCCGCCACACCCTCCCTTTTCCGAATCCCAGCGGGGTGAGGCGCGGACCCCCCTGCATTTTAATTTAAAACTGGTTGGAACTTATTTTCTTGCCAAGATCCCTCCCTAGCTGGGTTGGGGGAAGCTGGGGACCGGCAGTGGGCCACCCACCTGCCTCCCGCAGCACAGGAGTACCGGAGGAGCGATGTGCTCCCTTTTGTAATTTGGAGGGGTTTATTCGTGACAGGGCCGTTTTTGAGCAGAAGTAGGCACACATTTTTCCTCAGGCTTCATGTAGTTCGCCACAGGATTGCGCAGCACAGCAGCATTCTCACAGAAACTTGCACTGCAAGGTGTTTGGGAAAGGTTAGCTACTTACCAGGGGTTAAAATGCAGCCTCTGGGTATAAAGCTTAGACATCACAGGTTCCTCTGCCAAAAGAGGAGTAAGGGAGGAAACACATTTTACTCTCTTTAAAATCTTCCATCCCTCTTTTTTTTTTTTTTTCTGTATCTTATTTTCCTTCCAGACCACATAATATGTCAAATCCTCTTCTCAGCCCGGAGACAGAGTGAAGCAGCAATTATCTTCTCTTCATAGACCTGGTGAAAGACTGACAGCACCAGCAAAATCAGCAGGGAGGTTCTGTGATCTGGAGCTGGAACTGATGGCATGAGAGGCAGAAAAAACTGACTGGTGCAGCCCATGTTTATCAGTCTTACTGACAATACATACAGAATTATATAATTTTTACGTGTGCATTTTGGAAGGGTCTTGAAAGGCTTCTAAAGTATTGCAAATGTTATAATTCAGATATGCTGGGTAAAAGGGTAGGATCCTTAGCTTCTGATGGGAGAAGCAGGAGAAGTGGTGCACCCCAATGGGACCGTGGATTCTGGCAGTTCACAAACATTGTGAAACTCCCTGGTTGTGTTTGGCACTGATTTTGGTTTCACGAAATGAGTTCACCTGGTAGCGAATACAGTAAAGTTTTATGTGACTTTGAAACACAAAAGTAAACAGCAATAAAAAGAAAATGTTATGTCCACTTTTAAAAAAGACGGAAGTCCAGGAAACAAAAGACCAGTCCACCTCACCTCAGTCCCTGGGAAAACTTTGGGACAAGTCTTTGGGGTAGTCAGTATCACAGAATCAGAGAATATGCTGAGTTGGAAGGCACCCACAAAGATCATTAAGTCCAGCCCTTAGCCCTTCACAGGACCATCCCCAGGAGTCACACCATGTGCCTGAGAGTATTGTGCAAACGCTTCTTGAACTCTGTCACAATGTGTTGGGAGGCTAATTCAAGAGTAAAAAAGGAAGAAGAGCACAGAGTGGCAGAGCAGGAAATGAAGGCATCTTTTGAGTGGTAACAGCAAACTCAGTTTGAAAACCTCCTTTATGTGCTTTTTTTATTAAGTGCAATGTTATTACTAAAAATGAAAAAAAAATTATCTTGTATTCAGAAGAACCAAGTCCAGGTGAGATGCATGGCAGGGAAAATATCATTTTTCAAGAGGATTTGTTTTCTCTCCTGTAAGCTTTGCAGGCTCACTATGAAGAAAAACTGAGATTCCTGGCAGATTTCATCTTGTCCAACTACATCGTTCATGTAATACAATACAAATGTGATTCATATTGCTAAAAAATAGATACAGCATAACAACAACATATTTGCTCAGGAAATGTAAATGATATTTTAACTGAATCATTGGTTTAGGTATCCTTTAAACAGAGGGCACTATGCATTTATGCAGTGTACTAAGGAATTAAATAGTTTCATCATTAAACTTCCGTTCGGAATGGTATTCTATGAAATCTATGATTATATATCGGATAACATTGTCTTACAATAGTATATGGTCACTCATTTTCTATACCATGGGGTGTTGTATGTAGTCATTTTGCTTGGGATAAGATAAATAACAATGTAGCTTAATGCTAACTTACATCCAATAAATACAAAAATATATCCAGAAATCCTTAGAGTTGTTTATATTTTCTACCTTTATTAAGACTTACTTGATGTATGACATGTTAAGGAAGCAGCATGGGCCTTTGCTCTGGATACCTGAATACTGTTTAGTGTTTTGAATCAAATGGTGAAAGAAAACTAGACGAGAACACAAATGCTTAGAAAAGTACTCACACAGTGGATGAATGTGAGGAAGACTCTAAAATGAATATAATTCCATTAAGATATTTGTGAAAGTGTTCAGCTAGGAAAGGAAACTCAGATTCACACACCGAGTGAGGTAGTACCCCATGATTTTGTTGCAAAGAATAACATATAATGAATGACTGCAAGCTAATACTTCTGTGCTTTTTTAAAACAACAGAAGCAGATTCTCAAATACTTTTCTAGGGTTTCCACTTGGGCACAAGGTGAATAATTCACTAGAATGAATGGAACTGCTCATGCACAATGACAAATGTTTGCAGAACCAGGCTATTAGTTTAGGTAAATAGAGCTTGTGTGTAAAATGTTGTGGTTATATTTGACAGTACCTGGTATACACTGGAAAAGTGTCCAGAGGGAAATAACAATGATGGTGAGAGAAGGTTTGAATATATCTGATGTCTCATCTAAAGTGTTAATCCTAAAATATATGGCAACCTAACTCAGCATCTAAAGGAAGATTTGCCCCTGTAAACACTGCAGAGAAATAAGCTTAGAACTTCAAAAACTGGTACACATCATGTCAATTCCTACACCTAGACTAACTCTAATGGAAAGTACTGGCTGTTGAGTGTTCTGAAGATTTTTTCCTCATTAAAAAATCAGATGACCATTATTTTAAGTACTCTTTCGTAGACAACTAGGACATTTTAGATTGGAAAGGACCCCTGGGAGTCACCTGGTTCCATATCCCACTCAGAGGAGAGCTAATTGCAAACTGATCAGGTTGTAGACAGGTTCGCCCCATTGACTTCTGAAAATCCATGGGGATGGAGGTTCCTTAGTATCTCTGGGTGACCTCTTCCAGCATTGACCCATTCTCACCATGAAGAATTTCTTCCTCTTGTCCAGTCAAAGCAATGGTGACCTTTGTCTTATGTTCTTTGCTGAGCACTTCTAGGAAAGGTTTGGCTTTGTCTTCTTTATAGCTTTCTCCATAGGTAATGAAAGACTGCAGTTTGGTTCCCTTTGCCTTTTCATTTTCAGGATAAAAAATGAAGTTCTCCTATTTTAATATTTTGTCAGCAGACAAAAATCTGAAAAGATGCTGTTTGTGAGGTATGTAAGTATAAGTTTTATCAGAGAAAAGAAAAAAATCCCAAAACTCAAAGGGAGACTAACAAGAACATCACAATCAGGAATTTATATGGGATTTAAATATAAAAATAGAATTGCTTACAAAACAAATCTATCACTTAGATCTTTATATTAACAGAGCAATGTTAATTGTAAAGCAAACTTAAAAATATACAAAAAATGACCCCCACTCTAAATTTACTCACTATGTTTTTAATAACTTAATGCTCACTGAAACTGTGTAACTGGGAATGTAAAAGGATCTAGCTCAAGAAACATCCATTTTTTCTCTGTTGTGAATGTAAAATTATTTTGGATTTGAGAGTGCATTTAAAACAGAGCAGCTATTTTATTTACTATGATGCTCCTTTACCATAAAAATTTACAGGCATTATTTCAGTTCACTTCCTGAATGCGATGGAGAAAGAAACTGACTAAAAATGGGAATAAATATCCAAATCAAGGCTACCATTTTCCTCAGACCAAGTTCTGTAACAAGAATTCAGTCTAAAACTTTATCCTATTTTCCTCACTAACAAAAAGAGCTAATTTCATTAAAAAATGATTCCCTATAATAATTTAGAATGGGTTTGCCTTTACAAACAAACCACTGACCAAATCTCATTGCTACTAGCTTTGAGCTAGAAGGTAATGCTGATACGGTGTGCACATGGTTGAATTTTACCCGTACTCAAAATATTTTGCTTCACACTGAATGCTGTTTAAATGAACTATTTATTGTAGGTAAATAAAAGAAGAAATCCTAAATTATTACTTATAGTCACATTCTTACTACTACGTAAGTTGTGGAAGTCCCTAGAAGTACCAGCTGAATATCAGTACAGTGGGTAGAAAACCAATATTTACATTCTCACAGTTTACAATCTAGTGCTTCCATGTGATGCTGTCTTGAAATCATAATGAATATAAAGCTTTGCTCTCTTGGTCATTTACTTTGGTTTCCTTTCTTCTATGAAATTCCCTTTACTCTTCTTCATCGAGAAGAGCTTCTTCATCAGACACATGCACAAATCATGAAACAACAATCTTTATGTGGCTTTCAAGTTGGATTTTTTTCCAGTAAGAAATTGAATTTAGAGCATACAGCTAATGCCTAATAAAATTGAACTCTCAGTCAGCATAGTAATATGCCTTAAACAAATATGCTGTGAAAATCCACAAACATCAGGCACCAGGTTTCCAGGACACCAAAGCATTTTGTTGAGGGGAAAAAAAAAAGTAAATATGCATTAAAACTGTGTTCTTAAACTTCTTTCTATTATGGACATAGCTGATAGTAGGGACAGGCTCTTCCTATTACCTGTTGGCATATGTTCAATTCCCTTATTATCTGGGATCTTTCTCTAATCATGCCATTCTTCCATCCTTCCTCCATGTCTATTATCTCAGCCAATTTCCTATGGTTCTTTGTGCCTCGTGAACTGTGTTATTTCTCCTATTTCCACCATTCCTACTCTTTTGCTTCACAGTGTCTCTGTTGAATGGCTTTTTTGATAACACTCCTCACTTTCAGTTATTTTCTCCTTCTCTTCCTGTGTCCAGATCTGATTCTTTCCCCCTATAGCTCCAACAAAAATAGTTAAGTTGGAAAATTTCCTTTTAATGTTTGCCCCGTTCATGTATTTATTTTTCACTTGGGCATCTGCTACCTAGACAGGATATTGAGCTAGAAGGACTTCTCATCTGTTTCAGTGTGGCCATTGCTAGGTATGGTTTTTATGAAGGGTGAAAGCACCATCCTAACTTTACCTTTCTCTCTTAAGCTCAGCTGCTGTAGATAGTATAAACACATAGAGCTTCCT